CCACATGATTATCTCAATAGATGCAGAAAAGGCCTTTGACAAAATTCAACAGCCCTTCATGCTAAAAACTCTCAATAAATTCGGTATTGATGGAACGTACCTCAAAATAATAAGAGCTATTTATGACAAACCCACAGCCAATATCATACTGAATGGGCAAAAACTGGAAGCATTCCCTTTGAAAACTGGCACAAGACAGGGATGCCCTCTCTCACCACTCCTATTCAACATAGTGTTGGAAGTTCTGGCTAGGGCAATCAGGCAAGTGAAAGAAATAAAGAGTATTTAGTTAGGAAAAGAAGAAATCAAATTGTCCCTGTTTGCAGATGACATGATTGTATATTTAGAAAACCCCATTGTCTCAGCCCAAAATCTCCTTCAGCTGATGAGCAACTTCAACAAAGTCTCAGGATACAAAATCAATGTGCAAAAATCACAAGCATTCTTATACACCAGTAACAGACAAACAGAGAGCCAAATCATGAATGAACTCCCATTCACAATTGCTTCAAAGAGAATAAAATACCTAGGAATCCAACTTACAAGGGATGCAAAGGACCTCTTCAAGGAGTACTACAAAACACTGCTTAGTGAAATAAAAGAGGACACAAACAAATGGAAGAACATACCGTGCTCATGGTTAGGAAGAATCAATATCATGAAATGGCCATACTGCCCAAGGTAATTCATAGATTCAATGCCATCCCCATTAAGCTACCAATGACTTTCTTCACAGAATTGAAAAAAACTGCTCTAAAGTTCATACGGAACCAAAAAAGACCCCACATTGCCAAGACAATCCTAAGCCAAAGAACAAAGCTGGAGGCATCACGCTACTTGACTTCAAAGTATACTACAAGGCTACAGTAACCAAAACAGCATGGTACTGGTACCAAAACAGAGATATAGATGAATGGAACAGAACAGAGTCCTCAGAAATAATACCACACATCTATAGCCATCTGATCTTTGACAAACCTGACAAAAACAAGAAATGGGCAAAGGATTCCCTATTTAATAAATGGTGCTGGGAAAATTGGCTAGCCCTAAGTAGAAAGCTGAAACTGGATCCTCTCCTTACTCCTTATATGAAAATTAATTCAAGATGGATTAGAGACTTAAATGTTAGACCTAAAACCATAAAAACCCTAGAAGAAAACCTAGGTAATACCATTCAGGACATAGGCATGGGCAAGGACTTCATGTCTAAAACACCAAAAGCAATGGCAACAAAAGCCAAAATGGACAAATGGGATCTAATTAAATTAAAGAGCTTCTGCACAGCAAAAGAAACTACCATCAGAGTGAACAGGCAACCTATAGAATGGGAGAAAATTTTTGCAATCTACTCATCTGACAAAGGGCTAATATCCGGAACCTACAAAACACTCAAACAAATTTACAAGAAAAAACAACCCCATTACAAAATGGGCAAAGGATATGAACAGACACTTCTCAAAAGACATTCATACAGCCAACAGACACATGAAAAAATGCTCGTCATCACTCGCCATCAGAGAAATGCAAATCAAAACCACAATGAAATACCATCTCACGCCAGTTAGAATGGCAATCATTTAAAAATCAGGAAACAACAGGTGCTGGAGAGGATGTGGAGAAACAGGAACACTTTTATACTGTTGGTAGGACTGTAAACTAGATCAACTATTGTGGAAAACAGTGTGGCGATTCCTCAAGGATCTAGAACTAGAAATACCATTTGACCCAGTCATCTCATTACTGGGTACATACCCAAAGGATTATAATTCATGCTGCTATAAAGACACATGCACATGTATGCTTATTGCGGCACTATTCACAATAGCAAAGACGTGGAATCAACCCAAATGTCCATCAGTGACAGACTGGATTAAGAAAATGTGGCACATATACACCATGGAATATTATGCAGCCATAAAAAAGGATGAGTTCGTGTCCTTTGTAGGGACATGGATGCAGCTGGAAATCATCATTCTCAGCAAACTATCGTAAGAACAGAAAACCAAACACCGCATGTTCTCACTCATAGGTGGGAATTGAACAATGAGATCACTTGGATACAGGAAGGGGAACATCACACACCGGGGCCTATGGTGGGGAGGGGGGAGGGGGGAGGATAGCATTAGGAGATATACCTAATGTAAATGACGAGTTAATGTGTGCAGCACACCAACAAGGCACATGTATACATATGTAACACACCTGCACGTTGTACACATGCACCCTAGAACTTAAAGTATAAAAAAAAAAACTCTTAGAAGAAAACTTACGGGAAAACCTTCATGACACTGGATTTGGCAATGATTTCTTGGATATGACACCAATGGCATAGACAACACAAGAAAAAATAAACAAACTGACACGCTGGACTTCTTCAAAATCAAAAAAAATTTTGTGCATCAAATAACTCTATAAAAAAACTAAAATAAATATATCTATTGTAACATGGTGCTCTCACTAATTTAGAATTTCAAGGACAATTTTTCTTTCTTTTCCTTCTTGCTCTTTCTTCTCCCTCTTCCCTCTTTTTCTCACCTCCCTTCCTCCCTCTCTCCCTCTCCCTTTCCACACCACTCTCTTCTCCCTCCCTCTCTGTCTTTCTTTTCTGAGATGGGGTCTTGCTCTGTCATCCAAGCTGGGGTACAGTGTGGCACAATCATCAATCACTGTAACCTTGAACTCTTGGGCTCAAGAGATCCTCCTGCCCACGTCTCCCTAGCAGCTGAGACTACATGCGCACACCACCATGCCCAGCTAATTTTTAAAATTTTTTGTAAAGACAGGGTCTCATGCAGGCTGGTCTCGAACTTCTGACCTCAAGCCATCCTCCTGCCTCAGCCTCCAAAACTGCTGGGATTACAGGTGTGAGCCACCATGCCTGGTTGACGATTTCTTAAATCAACGAAAAAAGATATTCCATTCTGTATATAGTATGAATAAACAACTTGCTACTCTATGGCCCAAAACTTTTTAGGGGCAATCCAGTCTTGTTTACCTTTTTACAGAATAGGCTGTGCTCCATTATTTTATTTCTTTTATGTATTAAAAAGGCCAAAGGGAAAGGTATAACATGATGTGAAATAAAGTGTCCAATGCTAGAGCTATCCTTGCCTATCAAAACAATACTCTGAAAGTTACAGGCAGAAAAGAAGAAAAAGGCAAAGAAATTAAGGGTGGTAATTCTAAGATTAAGTCTGTTATCATAGCTTTATACATTTAATAGTGAGAAGAACCACACCAAAACAGCACATTAAGGAAAAACAGAAAACAGTGAATAGTAAAGATAGATACACAAGAAACAGAAAAGAAAGGTCAATTAAATTGGCAAAAAGTGACGTAGAATTTTGCCTTGATATATAATGAATTTCATTAAGAGATTTTAGTATACAATAGAAATTTAATAAAATACAATGCAGCATACAGACATTTCTAAATATTTCCAGGAAAAAAAAGGTTATTCGGTGGTATATCTGTCTAAAGGACTTGGTTATAAGATAGCAGCAATTCTAAATGTCTCCATGTGGAATGAATCTAAAAACATCATTAGAATGAGGATGCAGTATATTTATTTTTCATTCACTCAAGAAGAGAAATCACTTTCTCTGCTTGGATTTTTTTTTTTTTTTTGACAGAGTCTTGCTCTATCATGCAGGCTGGAGTGCAAAGGCGAGATCTAGACTCACTACAACCTCCGCCTTCTGGGTTCAAACAATTCTCACGCCTCAGCCATCCCCAGTAGCTAGGACCACAGGCATGCACCACCACACCTGGCTAATTTTTGTATTTTTAATAGAGACAGGGTTTCACCACGTTGGCCAGGCTGTTCTCAAACTTCTGGCCTCAAGTGATCCACCCACCTGAGTCTCTCAAACAAAGTGCTGGGATTACAAGCGTGAGCCATTGGGCCTGGCCCCTGCTTGGATTTTTAAAAAAATAATCAGTAGGCTGGGCGTGGTGGCTCACACCGGTAATTCCAGTACTTTGGGAAGCCGAAGCAGGTGGATCACTGGAGGTCAGGAGTTCCAGACCAGCCTGGCCAGCATGGTGAAACCCCATCTCTACTAAAAATTTTTTTAAAATTAGCTGGGAGAGGCCAGGCGCAGTGGCTTACATCTGTAATCCCAGCACTTTGAGAGGCTGAGGCAGCTGGGTCATGAGGTCAGTTTGAGACCAGCATGCCCAGTATGGTAAAACCCCATCTCTACTAAAAATACAAAAATTAGCTGGACACGGTGGCATGCACCTGTAGGTCCAGCTACTCAGGAGGCTGAGGCAAAAGAATCACCTGAACCCGGGAGGCAGAGGTTGCAGTGAGCCAAGATCACCCCACTGCACTCCAGCCTAGGCAGCAGAGCGAGATTCCGTCTCAAAAAAAAAAAAAAAAAAAAATTAGCCGAGTGTGGTGGTGTACACCTATAATTCCAGCTACATGGGAGGCTGAGGAAGGAGAATCGCTTGAACCTGGGAGGTGGAGGTTGCAGAGAGCCGAGATTGCATCACTGCACTCCAGCCTGGGCAACAGAGCAAAACTCTTATCTCAAAAAAAAAAAAAAAAAAAAAGTGGCTCACGCCTGTAATCCCAGCACTTTGAGAAGCCGTCAGCAAAGCAGATCACAGATCACTTGAGGTCAGGAGTACAGTACCAGCCTGGCTAACACAGTGAAACCCCGTCTCTACCAAAAATACAAAAAATTAGCCAGGCATGGTGGTGTGTGGCTGTAATCCCAGCTACCAGGAGGGTGAGGCAGGAGAATTGCTTGAACCCAGCAGGCAGAGGTTGCAGTGAGCCACAGTCATGCCACTGTACTCCAGCCTGGGTGACAGAGTGAGACTCCATCTCAAAAAATAAAACAAAATAATAATAATAATAATAATAATAAATAATCAGTAATCACAAAGGACATGAGTTTCAGTAAATGTTTGTATTTCTGCCAATGAAAGGAATTGAGGTTAGGAGGGCCAGGGAGAAGGAGGTGCTGAGAAAGAGATTCAAATAGTACCTTTAGCATCATCAGAACCTGAAGCCAAGAGTTTAGGATCCATCAAATTAAAGTCAACACTCCAACACCTCTTCTCATGCTCCTGGAAGCAGAAAGAAGACAGTAGCCTCAGACAGAATAGAGATCTCAAAATGAATAAAGCAAGAAAAAAAAAAAACTGGTATCAATTTATTGTTATGGGGAGAGGGAAAGAGAACAGGCTAGAAAACAAATGAAAAGCAAATAAGATGTTGATATAAAGCACGTCCAAAACTTTTAATATACACATTTACCGAAATTATTGCTTTCAGAAATTTATTTGATACATTCTACAAAGAACAAAGTCTGAAGAAATGCTTCAGAAAAGTATCTGGTACCAAAAAAAGGAGACTGAAAAAAAAAGTATTTGGTATTGCACAGGTGTTACACAGGTATAAAAAGTACTAAATAGTGGCTTCAAATCTGTAATTATAAAGCACATGAAGTTCTAAAAGTTTTAACAAAATAAATACATGATTCATATAACATGTAACTAGTACCCTTATTTACCTGATAGACCTTTGACCTCTGTCCCGTGAATCCATCCCATAAAATAACAGTGCCTTCATAATCACTGCTAGCTAACAGGTTCTTATGGTAACTACTCCAACTGATACAGCTGAAAGAAATATAGTTAAAAGTTACTTTACGTAAAAATAAATAATAATGGGATAAAAAGAATTTTAATGTGTTCAGAAAAATAATGTGTTTTGCACTATTTTAAAACGGTCTCTATCAGTTCACAATCATTATTCTGCCCACAACATACCTGGGAAAAGATGTATCAATAATTTTGAAATTTTAAAAATAAAAATTAACAAGTAATGACCCTAACCACTTTTTACTGTGATCACTAGCTGTTAAGATGGATGTGAGTCTAGAGCTATCATTGGCCATCTTTGATACATGAGGAAAGGATGTCTATCAGTGAAGGTGATACTGTCTAGAGGGCTCAAGGCATACCATCGCAGAATGACAGACCTGATGAGACTGTTTAATGCCCTGGATCCAGTTGTGCCAAATCATATAAGCCAAATAAACTACAGTGAATTGGGTTTCTGTATTTACATCCCAAAAGTCTTGACTTGAGTAATTATAACTTAAGACTACAATTCCAATTAAAAGCATCTAAAAGTTAGAATCAAACTTTTATCATTTATGGTTCTGGCTATTCTCAAGTGCTCCAAAAGTCTACATCATCTAAAAACTTCTGCTGAGATACATACCTGCATCATGCATATAGTAAAGGGAATGTATACTATGGAAGAAGCTACTTAGAAGGCAGTTAATGTAGGTAACTTCTAAGACATGAACACAAGGTCTTTTGCTTTCTACTAGTTGCACTGATGCTAAATTTCAGAGACTGGAAGAGTTCATTTACATTTTTAAATACTTTTAATTAGAATTTCTGGTAGAAATTATGTGGAAGAGTTAAGAGCCACAATTTGAATTTAGGTAGACTTGAGTTCAAATTCCAGATCTGTTACTTACTAGCTGTGGCTCTGGCTAATTTAGTTCACTTTCACAGCAGATGTGCTCCAAATCTATTTTAGGAATCCTTAAGTATTGATCCTTTCAGCCCCAGGCCCACCGCTTTCAGCCTTGAGCGCTTTCACCATTTATTACAATGCACCAGGAAGTATTGCACATTTTTACATGTATAATTACAGAACAGGTAGATAGCACATTTAAACCTTCTAATCCATGTTTTCATTATGTAATACATTATGAGTACTTGCTATGGGCCAAGTATTGTTCTGAGTGCATTATGGGGATTTTTCAAAAGTACAATCCTATTAAATAGGTATTACTATTGTGGCCTCCATTTTATAAATAAGGAGCATGAAATGTTTAAGGGCACAGACTCTAGAACCAAACTACTTGAGTCTGAATCCTGGCTCCTCTATATAAAGGTATATAATCTTAAGCAGGTTATTTACCTTTCTGTGCTCAGCTTTCTTTGTATAAAATGGAGCAATAATGAAAACTATCTCATAGATCTGGCTAAAGACAAAGCACTTAGGATAATGCATGATATATAAGAATTCAATAAAGTTGTATCTAATTCATGTTATATCCTCTTCACTTAGGACATAAACTATAACAGATTCTCAATGACGAGTGCCACAAATGAATGGGGAAGCTCACCAATTATCAATATAGTATTTTTATAAATGAACTAGAAAAAAGAAAGATATAACAAATAAATTATACAAAGACTGTAACAAACATACTATGTATGTCATTCATAAAGATAAAAAAAGTTCAAGGATGGCTATTTTGAAAATGTTCAAAGTTCTATACAAAGTTATTATTAGATGATTTCCTCATATATTTCTCTTTTAAAGCCAATGCTCGTGATAACAGCTTGGGAAGCTTGTTTAGAAAAAAAAAAAGAAAAAGCAGATTCTAGAATTTTTCTGAGATTTTTTGGGGAGCAGATCAGGAGTAGAGTCTTAAAATACTGTTAATGTTTAAGAGTATTTTAGGTTTAAAATACTGTTAATGTTTAAGAGTATTTTAGGTTTGAAAAGCACTCCTTATAAAGTATAATCTCTAATACAGAAAACATAAACACCATTCCTTCAGTGAAAAGCAGAATATTATTGTAAAAAAAATTCTTAAAACTAGAAACAATTCTAATATGTTGAGATATGTGCATGCTAGGGGAAAAATTCATGATGTTTAAATACTATTCATAAGCTACATTAATCCTTATTCAGTACTCCACAGAGTCTCCAATAACCATCTCCAACAAACAACTTTATTTGATTAAATGAAAGAAGAACTTTCATTTGGCAACTGGAAAAAAAAATAAAGGCTAACCTCACAAGAAAAAAGCAACCAATATCTGTAAGAAACATGATCTAAGTAATAATATATATTCTGTATACATAGTACAATTATAGTGTTCACCATGAATGAGCAAAAAGTGTCATGCAAAGGTAAAATAATTTCTTGATAATTACACATGCAAATTGTTACATATATACTACATCATGCCAAGAAAATATGTAAATACCTGATTTTCGAATTGCAGGTCATTTCATTCTCAGGATAATGAATATCCACTGCATCCTGGATGACAGTGCCATATTCATAGACTTTAATCTTCTTTGTAACCCCAGCAATCGCAAAATAGTCACAATCCCGGTCAAATTCAATACTAAGGGGAAAAAGTGTATGACAACATTTCAGAATTTGCTACTTTCTATTTCTAAAGTAATTCTGTCTACAAGGATAAAAGATCTACTTCAAATGCCTTCAAATTGTACTAGGCCTCATAACACATACCAAATTAAAAATGGTTGAGATTTGTGTATATCTACACAATTGTGCACAGGTGTACTTTTGTTCCTAGACACCTGACATGCTTTTCATTCAGTTCTAATAACCGTATTACAGCTTACTGAGAAAGATTTAATGGCGTGAATCATTTGATATACTAAAAGCATGCCAAAAGACAATTATCAACTAATGTTTGATACATTCTAGTTATTTCCCTGCCATTTTGTGAAGATGGTAGAATTTCACAATATTCAATGTTATTTTTAATAAATTAGTATATAATTTGAATTACTGAAGCAATTGGGTGATGACAAGGGGATAGCATACAACAGAACAATTAAATTATCATTACTTTTTCCCAAATTCATACCTAATCCCCCTCCCCAAACATCTCTCTGAATTATAAAACCCCAATATGCATTCCCCATACCACAAAAGAGGTTAAATAAGTGAATAATCTCCCTTCCTTTAGCGTTACTTAGAGAATTCACCCTCTCTTGCTGATCATTTTTATATAAGCTCCAAAACAAGCTATTTGAAAGCAAGTACAAGATCATACTTGCTTTCATAGAACTTGGAGCCTAAGCAAAGTTGTTTTTATATAACCAGCTAGAAATCTAATTAGCCCAATGGTAGTAAAAGTTGAAATGAATCATCACATACATTACTCCTCAATATGATTTAAGCATCTTTTCTAGAGGTTTAGTGGTAAGAATTTGCACTGATCTACAATTAATTACATAATAATACCTAATATTCATTAGTCATTCACCAACTACTAAAACACTTTGCATGTATTAACTCATTTAGTTCTCATAACAACCTGTGATACATGTATTAATATTCTCTACATTTTACAGATGAGAAAATGAGGATTAGAGGTGAGGTAAATTGCCCAAAGTTAGTCAGTTTGTAAGTGGCTGAGATGGTATTCAAACACAAAGTAGTCCGGTTTCAGTGTTGGTATTAATAATTACTATGCTTTTATCACAGATCAAAGCTCTTAATGTAAAACTCAAAGTGTAAAGGCTAAAGGTTTAAAATCTAATATGTATGAATGTGTCTTCAGTATCTATGTATGTGTGTTTCTTCTCTCAAAATGCCTAGCTAGTGCTCTGCATCTATTAAGCATTCATTTAATTCATAAAAATACAAACACCTACATACAATAATAATAACATCCATTTTCTTAATGGATTACATGTGATATCCATTCACAGAACAGTTAATGATTAATGATTTATTAAGAAGCTTGCTGAACTGATGATAAGAAAGAGACACATTAAGAATATTTCAGGCTGGGCTCGGTGGCTCATGCCTGCTATCCCAGCACTTTGGGAGGCCAAGGTGGGAGGATCCCTTGAGCCCAGGAGCTTGAGACCAGCCTGGGCAACATAGTGAGACCCCATCACCACAAAAAAATGAAAAAATTAGTGAGGCATGGTGATATGTTCTTGTCCCCAGCCACTTTGGAGGTTGAATCAGGAGGACTGCTTGAACCCAGGAATTTGAGCCATGACTGTGTCACTTACATTCCAGCCTGGGTGACACAGCAAGATCCTGTCTTAAAAAACAAGAAGAAGAAGGAATATTTCCCTTAAAGACACACATTGAGATGCCCAATTTTCATTACAGCTTTAAATGTTTCCTTAATTTTATATAAATTTTAAAGAATTAAAAAATTTTTTTTACAGAGATGGGGGTCTCACTGTGTTGCCTGGGCTGGTCTTGAACTCCTGGGTTCAAGCAATCCTCCCATCTCAGTCTCTCAAAGTGCTGGGATTACAGATTTTAGGCATGAGCCACAATGCCCAGTCAATTTTTAAAAAATTTTTATTCAGTTAAGTGTCACTGACTAGAGTACAATTGAGCAAATGTTCCCTCCAGTAAAGTATGATACTATAGCAATGCAATAGATTTATTTGTACAATGTCAACTGAACTGCTGCCTCAGCTACTACTCGCTGCCATGTGGATTTTAATGCACCGTAACTATAATGATGACAACTACTCATCTATCCCAACTCAATTTACACCCATAGTCTCATGTCACTGAAGGAGAAATACTACTTTATCTAGTAAAGGACAGTTATTATCAGAACTGAAATCCTGTTTTTAACTTAGGAGGTTTTGGTATAGCTGAGATTTCAAGTGAACCAGTTATGTTATCACTAAATACTTTTTATCCACCTACACATATACATAGCTAATAAGTCAACACCATTCCAATGTTGTGCCAGTAAAAGTATGCCATTACTAAACTATTAGTTTTAACATATATAATATGTTTAAACACTAACCTATCAAAATAATAGCTTAAATACATTACAGGGAGAAAACTGATGCATAGGTAAAAATGTTATCAAAAGAATTCAGATGATGACCTAAATATGTCTATTATTTCTTCTGCTGGTAGGTACCCTGTTATTCAAGACAGCTCTCTCTCTTTTTTCAACATGTTATTATTTAGTGACATTAGCTCACTTTTAACTCTCATACTAAGAAGCTAACTTTTTGTTTTGACTTTATTGCTACTGTTTTCTTACATTTTGGTTATGTTTTGCTTTTAATATATTAAGGTATCAAGAACCTGTAGAGTATGTTTTAAAAAATATTTTGGGGGTAACAAGATCTTTTTATAGTGTAAAAATAATAGATTTTAACAGAAATATTAATCAAAAAGTATAAAGAATAATATTATTTCTAGAAAATACTGATTAAAAAGGAAAGAAAGACAAACAGGTCCCCCCCACCACCCAACCACCTTTTTTAATGGAAGAATTTCCACATCACTAAGACTCAGGATTTAAGCACTTCCAGATACTGAAGCACCTGCTCCCTATCTCTGACATATTTAATCATATATATTCTCAAACATCAACGTAATGAGATTCTAAAAACAGATCATGAACTAACTGAAATCGACACTGTAATTTTCAGGTGCAGAGAGCTTTGTAGAGTTAATATGAAACAGATGACCTCTTACATAACAGTATGATATATCAGTTACTTTTATTATGAAATCTGGTAACACAAGCAAAAGTACTTCAAAAGTTAAACAGTGACTAGTTAGGCTGAGACTAAATAAAAGGTAAACTAATTGAAATGTTGCTTATGCAATTAAATTCAAAAATAAATTTTAAGTCTTACTACTGTTATACAACGTTTATTTCTACCATCCACTGTCAGCAGTAATAATAAAAACAACAGGTTTATGAAAATTTACTGCGATGACAAATTCAATTTCACAGAATTTGTTTTTTATTTCAAAACATACAAGTATACTTTTGAAAAATAGTGTTTCTGGGGACATAAACTGCATTTTTCTTTCACATTTTGAAATATTTCAAGTGTTAAAAGAAACTGACTTATATCAACAGCTGAAATATGTAATTCAGCTGTAGGAAACTAGTTGTATTCTTTGTCAAAAAGGTCATTAATCAAGTGATTAAGCAGCAAGGCAAGAAATCGCACAGGACAGCTGATTAATGCATACCTCCAATACAATGGGGCACGAAGCAATGAAAGCCGTCTATAAGCCCAAGCAGTGAATTTTGTCATTGTTTCCACTGTCTGTCGTATCTTTTTGCAATTATAAGTATTAACAAACATGGATTAGTGTCCCTGGATGCTAGAGCCCAATTTATCAAATTAAAATATAAAGTAAGAGCAGTTGTCAAAGTTCTCATTCTCATTCATTACCATGATAGTGTGCCTCAAGAGCAGGTAACTATAACTTCAAAGAAACAAAACATAATTTTAGAAACTGGCCATTTTAATGAAAAGTGATAAGCAGATCTTTAAAAAATACAAACGAGTAAATTAAGAACTGACGTTACTCAACTTTCTTCCAATCAATACTACTTAAAACTTCCATAACATACATAATGCTTGAGATGTATCAAGCATTGTTCTAACCACTTCACATAAATTTACAAGCTTCAAATCTCCACTGTATAAAGAAACTGAGATATACTGATGTTAAGTAATTTGTCCAAGGATACACCAGATAATTCAAATTTAAGCAATTGGTTCCAGAGTCTATGATCTCAATCATCATGCAAACTTGCCATGCAATTTCAATTAGAACAAATGAGCTGGTCTTCAAAGAACATATACATAGGCAAAATAAGAATAATAACACAGAATAATAATATACATTATATTAGATATAGTGATAATAACATATAATAATTTAGCCTGTGCAACAAGTTAAACATAAAGGGATAAAAAAAGAATAAGGTAGCCTCACCGGGTTTATAATTAATAGAAGAGATTACAGACAATATAAGCCCAAATGATAAGACAAAATATTGATAGAGGAATTCAGAAGGCAATGATTATTGGGGCTTATTCGAAGAAAAGAATGAATCGTGAATATTTTCAGCCATCAAATGTCCAGAGTGCCAGTTATCTGCCAGATACCTAGCTGCTGAAAAAACCAAGATGTTAAAAAAAAAAAACCACATTACAGTTATGTGCCATTTAAGGACATCTTATGTTCCCATAAATTATAATGAAGCTGAACAATTCCTACCCTAGTGACTTGCAGTGCAACAACACGATCCTCAGGTTTGTGGAGAAGATGGTCATATCAGCACATATGAGGGCTACCTCACTTTGTCCCCTATGGTTGCACAGATTTACATCATCTGGATGTATCAAATTATTTAACCAGGAACATTTCATTTCTAGTCTTTTACTGTTAAACAATGCTGGGAAAAAAAAAAAAAAAACCCTTCTATATGTGTCAATTGCCACATAAGCAAGAATACTCTTAAACACACCCAGAATATGAAGCGCTAGGTCAAAAAAATATGTATACTTTTCTATTAAGTAAAAGCTGAATCTCTCTCCACCCAGATAATGCCATTAATAA